AGTAGATAAAGTAGGGACGAGGTTCTAGAGTAGGGGCGAGGTTTTAGTAGATAAGTAGGGACGAGGTTTTAGAGTAGGGGCGAGGTTTTAGTAGATAAAGTAAGGACGAGGTTCTAGAGTAGCGGCGAGGTTTCAGTAGATAAAGTAGGGACGAGGTTCTAGAGTAGGGGCGAGGTTTTAGAGTAGGGGCGAGGTTTTAGTAGATAAAGTAGGGACGAGGTTCTAGAGTAGGGGCGAGGTTTTAGTAGATAAGTAGGGACGAGGTTCTAGAGTAGGGACGAGGTTTTAGTAGATAAGTAGGGATGAGGTTCTAGAGTAGGGGCGAGGTTTTAGAGTAGGGGCGAGGTTTTAGTAGATAAAGTAGGGACGAGGTTCTAGAGTAGTGGCGAGGTTTTAGTAGATAAAGTAAGGACGAGGTTCTAGAGTAGGGGCAAGGTTTTAGTAGATAAAGTAGGGGCTAGGTTTTAGAGTAGGGACGAGGTTTTAGTAGATAATTAGGGACGAGATTTTAGAGTAGGGGCGAGGTTTTAGTAGATAATTAGGGACGAGGTTTTAGAGTGGGGACGAGGTTTTAGTAGATAATTAGGGACGAGGTTTTAGAGTAGGGGCGAGGTTTTAGTAGATAATTAGGGACGAGGTTTTAGAGTAGGGGCGAAGTTTTAGAGTAGGGGCGAGGTTTTAGAGTAGGGGCGAGGTTTTAGTAGATAAAGTAGGGACGAGGTTCTGGAGTAGATAAAGTAGGGACGAGGTTTTAGAGTAGGGGCGAGGTTTTAGTAGATAAAGTAGGGACGAGGTTCTAGAGGAGGGCGAAGTTCTAGAGTAGGGGCGAGGTTTTAGTAGATAAAGTAGGGCGGTCCGCTCTCCATCCCTTTATGAACCTTTCCTCCTCAGGGGAACACCATCCCCGGTGTGCTGAAGTTCCACGGGCTGATCACCACCTTCGAGATGATCATGGCCGACTGTCCTGACTTGAGGAAGCTCCACTGGCGCTGCGTGGTGATAGACGAAGCTCACCGCCTGAAAAACAGGAACTGCAAACTGCTGGAGGGGCTGAAACTCATGAACCTGGTCAGTCTGGGTTTGCGTGGAAGGGTCCTAACACATGGTTGATCACGTCTAAATAAGTTAAAGGGGAACATTAACATGCTTTTCTCAGTTGTTCCAGAGGTGGATGACTTGTTGGACTCTTTCGTTCCTTCAAACACCTTCTCTAAAAGATATTTGTTCATATCCAGAAACCTGTTGATATCTAAGTCCTTCATGTGTCTCCTCTCATTGGTCTATGTGTTTGTATGTCGTCTGGTTTGCTTGTTGTAATGAACCTTGTGTGATGGTTCATCAGGAGCAGCAGGTTCTAAAGAAGACTCTTGTCTCCTAACAGGAAGACAAGGTTCTGCTGACAGGAACCCCTCTGCAAAACTCAGTGGAGGAGTTGTTCAGCCTGCTGAACTTCCTGGAGCCGCTGCAGTTTCCTTCAGAAAGCACTTTCCTGGAAGAGTTCGGAGACCTGAAGACAGACGAGCAGGTGTGTTTTCATCGTAGATACACGGAGCTCATCACAGCGTCAGGAAGTAGAGTTTGTAGGAAATGTTTTGGCAGCTCTGAGTCTTTCTCAATACCCAAGTTCACAAATACGGACTTGTGAACTTTTTAGAACGCAGTACGGACAATTGGAACAGCAGCTTACTTGATGACATCACCACCTCAGCTGGTCTTGCTAATGAGTTTAATCCATCTTTTTACTGTAAAGTATTTTTACAATCAAACTAAATATGACAACCCTGCTTT